CACTCACCTCAGCCTCCCAAAGCACGGGATTACAGGCTGAGCCACCGAGCCCGGCTTGTCCTGAGGTCTTTAGTTGCAGCGAAGGTGGACGGACATTGCCAGCCACTGAGCGCATTGCCATATATGCTCTGGGCATGGCAAGTGGCCCAGCCAGAGCCACAGCTTCCTCCAGCCCTCAGTGCTGGGCTGATGCCACTTTCTCGGTCTTCCAAGCTCGTCCTCCCAGCCACCTGGACACCTCCCACTAGACATCCACAGGTGCTGCCCATCGACGAGTTTCTGATGGTGCCTATCAGTTTCCTCCTCACCCTTGCCCACCAGGGTGCCCTACCACTGCCTGGCACCACTGACCACCAGGTACCAGGGCTGCCCCTGCCCCTCGGGCTTGGAACTGATACCTCCTCTAGACCAGGAGCCTAGGGAAGCCTCTTGATCCATATCATCCCTGCCAAGGCCCCTGCAATAGCCCTCTCACTGCTAAGCCTGCTGCCAGCTGGGTCCCAGGACCTATCTTCCACTCGCCCACTGCTGTCACCTTTCTGATACAAATCGGATCCTTCTTTTATTTTACTTTTTTATTTTATTTTATTTTATTTTATTTGAGTTGGGGTCTCTGTCATCCAGGCTGGAGTGCAGTGGCATGATCATGGTTCACCATAGCCTCAATCTCCTGGGCTCAGGCAGTCCTTCCACCACAGTCTCCCGAGTAGCTGGGACTACAGGCACATACCACCATGTCTGGCTAACTTTTTGACTTTTTTGTAGAGATGAGGTCTCACTGTGTTTGCCCAGTCTGGTCTGAAACTTCTGGGCTCAAGCAATCTTTTCGCTTAAGGAAATCTAGAGATTAGAGGTGTAAGCCACCGCATCCAGCCATGCTCCCCTACTTTAAATCCTTCCATATCTGTCAATAATAAAAATCACAATAGCAACAGAGACCCTATCTCCTGATGCCCGCTATGTGCCAAGTACTGTGCTAAGGCCCCTCGGAAGCTCACAGAAACCCAATAAGGGGATGAGGATCAACCCCTTTGAACAAGGAAACCAAGGCCATGATCCTCAGAATAAGGCCAAACCCTCATAGCTGGAGCAAGGCCATTCTTGCTCCAGATCCAAGTTTCCAAATTCTGAAAAGTAGCAGCATTACCCGGGCCATCGTTAACACAGATTGTCAGGTTCCACCCCTGGAGACTGCGAGGTTGGAGGACAGGAAACCTGCATGACCAGCACCCCGCCCCCCCCCCCCCCCCCCCCCCCCCCC